AGGTTTTAATCACGAGAATCTGTTTGAAAAAGGTCACCAAGAGGTTTTAATCATGAGAATCTGTTTGAAAAAGGTCACCAAGAGGTTTTAATCACGAGAATCTGTTTGAAAAAGGTCACCAAGAGGCTTTAATCATGAGAATCTGTTTGAAAAAGGTCACCAAGAGGCTTTAATCATGAGAATCTGTTGGAAAAAGGTCACCAAGAGGTTTTAATCATGAGAATCTGTTTGAAAAAGGTCACCAAGAGGCTTTAATCATGAGAATCTGTTTGAAAAAGGCCACAAAGAGGCTTTAATCATGAGAATCTGTTTGTGATTCACAACTGAAAACTATTTCTTTGTAAAATAAAATTAACTCTTGGTGTCTGTAATGTGATTTGAAATGGAAATAAGTCAATCAAGGGGGTAATAATTCAATATAAAAAAATTATTTCAAGGAGAAGTCAAATGTTTATGGTACAGGTCCATAGATCAGAGGACGTAGCACTTGATGGTGGCAGACGACTGAAGGATTCTTATGCAGACCATTAACGATTTCTTGCAAAGTTTATTATAACTGGTAGGTTTTGATAAAGAACATCCTTTGGTTCCTTCCAGTATACAAGACATCTTCATAAAATCAGTATTTTTAATCCAACTACAAAACTACGAGTTGTTTGTCCTTTCACTTAAGGTCAACATTCACCATCACGCTAGCACCGAAAATCCACAAAGCATTTTTGTATTGATTACAGATTCTCCTTTCATTTGTGAACAAAAATCACGGACTCTCTCACAGTTTTCTATTTTTAAACTTTGTTACTAATATTTCCTACACAACTTAAATTCTCAAGGTTGGGTCACATTATATTGATTATAATTTTCAACATGTAATAAGACTCTAATTTTATAATGCTACATAATCTGCAGATATCCATATAAACATAAAGATAACATTGTTCCACAAAGAATTTATATACCCTTTTTCACTTGTTTAGGAGCTATGTATACATTTACAGGTTTACATAATGTTATTAAATAATCTTCTCCTTTCAGCCCCAGGGTGGATTTGGCATTGCTTCGAAGCCCACTACCACTCTCTTGGTCATTGATATCCATTACAAGGCTTACTTCCACATGGCATGCCTCTGTAACAGTGTAATACTATTAATATTTGACATAGCTTTTTGGATGTTTTAGCATCAAAAATATGCATGGTACAACTTAACATCAGCAACTTTGTGCTTCTTGCCAATAAGATAAGTTAATTTATAAATTAAAGTTACTCCAGTAATGATTAGTCAATATACTCAACTGCATAGAACACACACATATGCCCAAAAGTTTCACACTAAAGTTAACTAAGTGGCATATCACCATCACATTCATACAATTTTCGAATAAAGATATAAGGCATAATGACAGCTACAAAAGTTATTTTGGGGACAAAAGTTTCATGAAAGTATATTTTTTTGTGATGATTAGTAGCCTATACGAGTATCTAAGTATAATTATTAGTTAGTAAACTTTTTTTTTATAAATAGATATTAATTATGAACTAGTTTATCATATAATTTGGCTGCTAATTTTGTGTCAGCTTCAGAGAAGTCTGAAGAAGAACTATTTTCTCTGTTGGTAGGGCTAGGATTTGGTCTACTTGCTGAAAGTAGCCACTTATCTGGGGCCTCCCTCATAAGAACTTCATATCAATTAAACATTTGCATGTTTTCAAGAGGAGTATCCAGGTTTTGCAAACTTATATACTGAAGATAGATAACTGAAGCCTTCTAATTCACCTTACTGGTAAGACATTCAGTCAACATCTGTGATTTCATGACATGATGTATTAGTGCTTATACAGGTCGATATTACCAAATCTTGTATATCAACAGATGTTGACTGAATGTCTTACCAGTAAGGTGAATTAGAAGGCTTCAGTTATCTATCTTCATGTGATTGAAATTCCATGACATGATGTATTAGTGCTTATATAGGTCGATATTACCAAATCTTGTATATCAACAGATGTTGACTGAATGTCTTACCAGTAAGGTGAATTAGAAGGCTTCAGTTATCTATGTTCATGTGATTCCATGACATGATGTATTAGTGCTTATATAGGTCGATATTACCAAATCTTGTATATCAACAGATGTTGACTGAATGTCTTACCAGTAAGGTGAATTAGAAGGCTTCAGTTATCTATCTTCATGTGATTTCATGACATGATGTATTAGTGCTTATACAGGTCGATATTACCAAATCTTGTATATCTACAGATGTTGACTGAATGTCTTACCAGTAAGGTGAATTAGAAGGCTTCAGTTATCTATCTTCATGTGATTT